ATATATTAGCTAAAATTTAAAGAAATTTTATAATTTAAATTAGTAAACTAATCTTTACAACTTTTATTAAAAAAAAAATCAAATTTATTTAATAAAAAAATTTTTTATAAATAAATATATTCTGTGAGTTTACTAGTAAATACTATAAAAAATTAGTCTAAACTAAAAGTTCTTGGCTTAAAAAAAATTCTAGAAATTTTAAAAATAGATTTAAAACTATTAAACTTTTTTTACAATTAGGCAAAAGGTTAAAGTATAATACAAAAATATTTAAAAAAGTAGTTAATTTTAAAATTTAGTAGATAATAGAGTTTATTGACATACTAAATCTAGTACAAGTAAATCCAAGCCATTAATAATAATCTATCACATGCATGATCGATAAATTAGTTCTAATCGATTATAACCTTTGATCAATTATGAGTATAACAAATTTGAATAAACTCATAAACAGTTGTTCTTTTTAATACATAAACTTTTATATGTATGTACTATAAAAAAATTAAACAAGATAAATATACTATCCAGTAATTAGTACATATGCATAGAAGGTTATTATTAGTATATTATTTCTATACAAAACACAAGAAATTCTAGATTCTTCACTTTATCAAGATCGATATGCTACTAGTTGTATTAATAAGTCAATCCTTATCATTATTATAAAGGTTGAACTTGATTTAAAGTTTTGGAGCCATTTTATACTTTAGTAAAAATCTTGATTCGATACAGGTATATAAAATCTTAAATTCAAAATTTTACTGGTACTAGTAAGAACTATAAATTGGAATCAATAAGCTTCGAGTATAAACTTTAGCATCGGTAAAAAAATCTTACTGAATAATCAGATACTCTTCATAAGATATCAATATTTAAACAGTTAAATTTACCTTTAATAATTAATGACTAATTAAAAAACTCAATGAAAATTTATTTTGATACTTGAAAATTTTAAATGATCTTTAAATAATTTATTACCAAATCCTCTCTTTAAAAGAACCTTAAATTCAGAATTTTACTAGTATGTAAGAAACAAGATTTTATTGTGTTATCAGTATGAAATTAGTAAAACTACTATTTTAATAATTTTAGTGGACTCTTATTATTATTATTGATACTAAATTGGCAATGCTGTCTTCTTAGTAATTCAGAAATGGGCTCTTATCGCTATTATTTCTTACTATTTTTATTAGTAGGCACTAGATTTCCCTGTGGTTGTTTTATAAATAGCTAAAGCCACAGACGAAACAAAAAGAAAAAAGAGAGAAAGCCTACAAAATGGATAGTCTATCAGAATCCATGAATTATAAAGATACTTCTGCGGAAAACCCAAGTTCAGATATTAATGAAAATGGTTTAAATTATGTGGCCATACTAGATATTAGTCCATGAAAAGAAAACTATATACTGATATCACTGGTGAAGAAGATGACTATACATCAGAATTAGATTCAGAAGAAAAAATGGTGCCTACTAGCTCCAATTACTCAGAATTATCAATTAATAAAAGTAGAAGTTATTCAAGCAAAAAAAAAAAAAGAAAAAAAAAAAGCAATTGTATCAGCTGCAGTTTCACGTTCTCAGTTAGAAAGGCAACCTCCTGATCCTTTTTGTAACTATGAGCTAAAAACAGTATCAGGAACAAAAAATATATTTGATCTAATGTACTCTCAAAACCAAAAAAATATAAGAAATTCCGATCATAATATCACTGATTAATCTGGTCTTCATAATAAAAAAGCCAATATATCAAGTGTATTTGTTGGACCAAGTAATGCTAAGAAAATAGCTAAGGCTAGTGAATTCTTAATTCACAGTTCTGCTTGGAAATGGTTTGAAGAAGTATATATTGATAATATTCAACATGGTGTGTGTAATGTTGAAATGATAGATGGAAAATGCTGTAGTACAAAAGTAAAGACTAGTGATTCAATGACAGTGCTATGAAGGTATCTAAATATTGAGCATGAATATTCTAAAAATAATGAGCAACAAGTAAGTTTTTTTTAGTTAAAAAATTTTGCAATATAAAGGAAAAGATTATAAAAATTTGCAAAGCATTATGCTGCACTATGTATATCATATTGTATTACTGTATCCTCTCTTTAGATATTGTTCAAATAAGAAAATACATAGTAAAAGAAAAATTGTATACTACCTTCACTTATGTTTTGTAGTTTAGTAATAAGAATCTGTATCATTTAATTTGTCACAATAAGATAAATAAAATAGTATTAATATCATTTATTTTGAGTGCTGTTTAATGGGATATAGCTAAAAAAAAAAAAAAAAAGATGCTATCTGCACCAGAATACTTAACTTTTATTTATTTGTATTTTTATTTTTTTTTAAATTAAACAAAAAGCAGACAACAATAACAAAAGCATTCGAAATTTATTCATCAAAGCTGTATAATACAACTGAACAAGCTATTCATGATAAGGCTATTACTGAAGTTATCATTGCACAAAATCTTACATTTTCTTTTACAAAGGAAAAAATATTTAAATGATTTGCAAAAATTGTAGATTCGCGATAGATTGTACCAACTAGAGGAAAGGTTAAAGATTTTATTGATGAGAGATTTAATACAATTAGCTCCAGCTTGCGGCATAATTTACACCAAGCTGAAACTGTATCATTATCTGCAGATTTGTGGATAGTATATTCAAATAAAGATTACTTGGATATTACGACAACTTGAATTAATCAAAATTTTGAACTAAATAAAGCTGTTTTAGCAGTTACTTTTCTTCAGTATCCACACACAGCTGATGCAATCATAAAATGTATTGAGGACGTTCTTGAATATTGGAATTTGAAAAATAAAGTTTTCTCAATAACAACTGATAGTGGGGCAAATATAAAGTTAACATGTAATAAGCTTGATATAAAATAGGTTCCTTGTTCTGCCATATATTGAACTTAATTGTATAAAAGTGGCTCTTGCCTGCTAAGCACCTAATTACCTGGATGAACTGTCTAATTACATTTTTTACTGCATCTAAACAAAGTGAGCGTCTCGAGGCAGTGCAAGTATCAATTCAAAAACAACAAAACCCAAACCAAGAAATGGTAAATTTGGTATGAGTAGCCTAATTATATTAAATTATTATAATAAGTGTTTATTTTTTTTTTTAAAAAAAAAAAAAAAAAAAATCGATATAATAAGAGCTAGAATCAAACTCAGCTTGACATAATGAAGTATGCAAATTCTCTTAATACTGGCTATATTAATTTTCTAAAAAAATTTTAAATAAATTTATATTTTTTCAATTAAATTTTTAGATAAAAAACTTGCTATTCTACAATTTTAATTTGACATAATTAATACAATTAAGCTGTTCATATCATATAGTATTATTTATATTAATAAAATTAATTTTATATACAGAATAACCTTTTGCAAGCAAAAAGTGATGTTGTAACTCAGTGAAATTCCACTTACAATGCATGGGTTCAGATGCTTGAGCTTAAACTTTATATCAAAATACTTGCAAGTTTGCTAACTGTTTAGTTAGAGAAAGATGCAATTGAAGATGGAAAATGACTAAAATTAATTATGATTATAGAGGATAAGTGGACTGTAGTTGCTGAAATTATTAATATTTTAAAACTATTTAACGATATAACAAATTATATTTAGGTAGTTCATACTCAACAATGAGTATTATTTACCCGACTATGTGTACTCTTTGTAATACTTTGTTAAAAGAATATATATGTAGATAAAGATATTGATATGGATGAAATATATCTTGATACAACAAATGCTATTAATGTGTTCAACAACGAAGTGTCAAATGAAGATGAGGAATCAAAACATATAAAATCTCCAGCTGCAACTACTAATTTAGCTAAACATATTAAAAAAATCATGTCTAAGTTATTTGCAAAGTACTATAAGGTAAATATCTAATATATTTATTGCATAGAACATCTTTATTAAAAATTAAAAAAAATGTTTGGGGACGACACATAGTAAAAGCAGAAAATGGAACTATATATTATATAGTCCTATCCTCTGCTTTTGTTATGAGCGCTCTTATTGTATTTATTTATTCAATTATATAAATTATATATATATATAATTGATAATTAGTTTTCAGACGATAAAGTTAGTGATTGAACCTGTTCAACCCAGGTGACCCGTCGGGCTGATCCGGGTAGACTGATGGGTATTCCCAGCCAATCGCTAATGTTTGTTTACATCAGATAAAATTGGATGTGTTAAAGTTTAACACATCCTATTTTACCCGATATAAACAAACATCAGTGATTGGCTGGGAATATCTGTCAGTCTACTCGGATCAGCCCGATGGGTCACCCGGGTTGAACAGGTCCAATCACTAGATAAAGTATTATTTATCACAATGGCTATTGATCCAAGATGCAAAAACTATGAATTTGAAGGTGCTAAATTAAAATGTCAAGATTATCTTAGGTTAGAATATGATCAAATTATAAGTGATAAAAGTTTTGAATTATCATCGAATAAAGCAACACTTGATCTATCTAGATCATTCATATCAACAGTTTTTATGGCAGTTCAACAAGATACAACACACAAAAATGAAATTAATCAATATTTTTTGATGGAAATGATTGGACCCTTAGACAATCCCTTATAGTAGTGGGCAGACCACAAAAATTCACTTTCAAAAATAGCAAGTCTTGCTCAAAAATTTCTTGCAATTCTATCAACCTCAGTATCTTGTAAATGTCTTTTTTCTCAATGTGGAAATGTGATAACTAAAAAAAAAACTTAGTTGGCACCACAAATATTTAGAAATTAGTATTTTGTTATGCAAACCAAGAAAGGTATGATACAATATTTCCAAATATTAAAGACTAAATTCTTAATATTTATAGTATACACTGGTAAAATGAGTATATGAATAGATATAAAATATTAAACTAATGAATTAACTGAAGAATAGGTTAATGTGCAAGCTGTGTAGAATTTTTGAGAGGCTACACAGTGTAGGTTTGATAATTTCATAATTAGTTATATATATATATAGTTTGTATAATATTAGCTTGTTGTTGGTTTATAATTATATAGGGTTCAAAAATAATTATCCATATTTTAAATAAAATTATAGGATCATGAGTATAATTTACAAATTTAAAAGAAAATCATACCAATTTAGCCTATACTAATACTATTAAATGTTTTTTTCTATTCATTATACTTGAATTGATCTTTTTTACAAGAATATAGCTTCATGACTTACGGACCTTTGATTGAATACTACAGTAAAGATTTCAACAAAGGAAATTTAATAGAAGCTGTTATGTCTAAGTCATTACTAATCTGGGGATCAGGTAATATTGGAGATGAAAGTATAATGTAATATATTAGTGATTTGAAAGTCAAAGTGGGTGGCACGATTAATATGTATAATTAATATAGTCATAGTTCTGTAGTTTATTATAGTTATTGCATGAATTATATAGTCATGGGTTAATAATACATTTGAGAATCAGTTGAATGATTAGAAAAAGAGTATAAATATCAAAGTATAATTAATAAAGAGATATCTTTTTTTGATTGTCTGATAATATAACTTTCACATATTATAAGGTGAATATGGGTATTTTGACGAAGTTAAATTATTTTCGATCGTATAATGTAATGCATTGATCGAAATCAAATAATTTTGGTACTATCTGATTTATCTCATCGATCCGAATCAAATGATACCAAAATCATTCATTTTTGATCACTGCATCATTAAATAATTGAAGTTGAAATATTTTTTAAAAAATAAGAAAATTTTAGCCTTGGGGGTATTATGA